TTATCTGTTATGGTGATCTGTGATAAGATGGCAAAGTTAATCAATACATGTTGTTTGCAGTCTGCTAAAAAGACTAGCCATTCCCCCATCTCTCTCCTTCTCCTCAGGCCTCCCTATTCACTGAGATACAACAATACTGAAATTAGGCAAAATATTAGTATTAACCCTACAATGGCCTCTAAGTGTTCAAGTAAAAGGAAGAGTCACACATCTCTCACTTTAAATCAAAATCTATAAATGATTAAGCTTAGCAAGAAAGGCATGTCAAAAGCTGAGAAAGACTGAAAGCTAGGCCTCTGACCCAAAAAGTTAGCCAAGCTGTGATTACAAAGAAAAAGTTCTTGAAGGAAATTAAAAGTGCTACTCAGTGAAAACATGAATGATAAGAAAAGTGAAAGATCCCTATTGCTTATATGGAGAAAGTTTTAGTGGTCTGGATAGAAGAACAAACCAACCACATTTCCTTTGGCCAAAACCGAATCCAGACAGAGCAAGGCCCTCATTCTCTTCAATTCTATTAAGGCTGAGAGGTGAAGAGGTGATTCATGGGGGGAGGTCAAATATCAACAGGCATAAGAGTTTGGAAAAAGTTGATTTCAACTCTCATGGATGACCTGGAGGAGGGCTTCAAGACTTCAGTGGAGGAAGTCACTGCAGATGTGGTGAGATAGCAAGAAAAGCAGAAGGTGAAGTGGATCCCAAACAATATAAAAAACATAAATTGAGACAACAAAAAGTCAAAAGTGGGGGAGGGGGTTAGAGTGTACAGATGTTTAAATTTTTGTTTCTTTTCTATGTAATCAAACTTAAGTTGTCTGTGGTTTAAGATAATATAAGGTGTTTTTTGTGAGCCTTATATTAATCGCACAGCAAAAATCTATAATCATTAAACTAAAAGTGAAAAGAAAGGAATTAAAACATATTATCAGAGAAAAATCACTTAAGAAATTAGTAAGAAAAGAAGAAAGTGAGGAGTTACAAAACAACCAGAAAACAAATAACAAGATGGCAGAAGTAAGTCCTTCTATCAATAACAAAGGTCAAAGGTAAATGCACTTTATTCTCTAATTAAGACAAAGTGGTTGAATGGTTTAAAAAAAAAAAAAAAAAAAAAACAGGCCCCAACTATACGGTACTTACAAGAAACTTGGTTTACCTACAGAGATACACAGTAGACTAAAAGTGAAGTTATTGAAAAAGATATTACATGCAAGTAGAAACAAAGAAAAACCAGGAGTAGACACATTTACATCAGTTAAAAAGGACTTAAAGTCAAAAACTCTAAAAAGAGAC